GATTTATCAAAGTTCTTGGTAGGTTCATTCATCTAAAAATGACCTGAGGTCAAAAAATTCATAGATTGATTGAAAGCTAGTTTAAAAAATAATCTTTTGCTCGTTATTCTTGGTATAAAACATACGTGTCATATTTCCAGTACACCACATGGGGTTTGGTTGTTATCAGAACCCATATACATAACGAGTACAGTTCAAGTGAAATCACCTCCTGTAGTTTACATTTAATAGCTTCTAATCAGCACACACAAAGTGACTTCTCTCATTGCTAAATGCTGAACACATTCCAAACAATGAAATTCAAAAATACAGTTGGATTTTTCAGGGTTTTTTCTCCTTCTCTCCCTCCACTGTCTGAAGTCATATAAAATTAGATCCAGAAACAGGAAAGGAAGTTAACAGCAAATTCGCAGAAACAACTACTATTTTTTTACAAGTAAGAGACTCAGTCAGCAGAGCATGGTCCTACAAGATGCCCCGCAAGAGCCTCCTAAGAGCAAAGCCTTCCTGATGGACTCTGCTCATCTCCAGTAGTCAGACCTGGTGAAAGGCTGTGGCTCCTTGGCTGCAACACCTTCGTCTTGCTTTAGGTCTTCCCTAGCTGCTTCTGTACTGCAGACGGCAAAACTAAAATCCCCCTGTTCACAGAAACACAGACAGCCATCAAGAGAGTCATATTCAAACTGCTTATAATCACCCTGGGGCTCCTCGGCCACATGTTAGACTCCCTAATTGACATCTCCCACAGCATAGATTCTACCTACCACAGCAGAAGAAGCTTTCATTGGTCACAAGCAAAGAGGCCTTTTGGGGAGATTTCTGACAGGCTGGTTGATTTATCTTAGTGTCAGACCTTTCAGTGGAGAATGTAAATGCTACTGCAGCAATTTAACACAGACACCAGAATTTTCCATCTTTTTACTAGCAGGAAAAAACCCCAGGGACATATGTCTTCCTACATGTATGTATGTATAAATACACATGCACGCAGCCACACACACACACGATATCAAGTGCATTAACACAGCTGACAGTTTTATTGATGGCAGGTCAATACCAGGGTTTCAATTCTGATAAACGAAGTGCAGCAATTGTAATGACTAAAGCTTAGTATTAATTAGTTGAAATATTTCCAACACTTGCAACATTCCCTTAAAAGGGAACCTTAGATTGGGTCTCTCTCTCCATCACTGAACTTGGTTGTTACTGGCCACCAAGTGCAGATGCTGTGCAGAGGAGATTAGTGGAAGGCTCGGTGGCAAAAGCTACCTTTCCTTAGGAAACCAGTCCAAATCAATTCTTTATTTTCCACTGAAGACACAACTTCCAGTGTGGACTCGTGGGAACTTTCCCAGCAAAGATACTAGCAGCTGGGATATATTTCCAGCTGCTTACTAAAAGAAAGAACCAGGCAAGTAGACACACTCTGGAGAAGGAAATATGAGTTTACTGTAGGATGCAATGAGGAAGCCTGGCATGACAGAGCAAGGAGATACTGTACTCATTCCAAGACTGGAGAACTCAAAGTCGTTAGAGGCAGTTATAACAACATGGAGCAAACCACAGCTACCAGGAATAAAAGTGCAGCGCAAAAATGATGTGACCCACTTCTGTAGGTATTAGACCGCACTTAGCTCTACTGATGTGCAAGTAGCCACATTAAGAAAGAAGGAAGTCCATGGGGAGAAGTGAATACACAGACACATAAGACTGGTTAGAGCTGCAACTGTGGAGTTTGTCCTGGAAGAACACTCCAATCCATATTACATTCAGTGGAAACTATGCCTGAATAAAACTGGAAAATCATTTAACTTCCTTAGTGAACCATCCAAACTTCCTATTGATATTCCAACTCACCCAAGAGAAAAAAAAAAAAATTTTTTTGACCAATGAACCCTAACGTATATATTTAAAATACTGAAATGAAGGAGTCTTCTTTTAAAAGCATTGGCTTTTGTAAATGAAAGGTCATTAACAGCTTAGCAGAACAGCTTTGGCTCTTATTATGCATCCACTTCATAACAGAGGATACTGTCAACAACTTCTGTTATTCCCTGCCTCATTTCCAACACGAAAAGCATGCTTGATTCTCAGTTCCTCTGGGAAAAAAATCAGTAGGATACTCTCATTCTTCGCCTTTATGACCCTGTTAAATTATTCTCTTCTTTTAAGGCATGAAGTGATTTCTTAAAAAAAAAAAAAAAAAAAAAAAAAAAAGGCATTGGAAGCTCTGCTGCTGAACAGACACAAAAACGTATTTCTGTGAAAAGAATACTCACACATGCAAGTGTCATATCTACATTTCCATTTACTTGTTTTCTTTTTCCTAAGATCTAACATTCGTTTGTATTTTTTCTACACTAAAGACTTCCAATGGGAACCACAAGATGATTACCTAATGTCTTGACTGATATTGTACTAAAGAAATTAGTCCACCTGAGAATCTTTAACAGACCAACTAAGAAAGGATAATAAAATTGGCAGCAACAGATTAGGCAGCAGTATAGCACATTTTCCTTACAATGACTATTCCCCTCAGGCATAAGTACAACCTCTACTCAGCTTTCTAAGAGTAATATAAAAATACGGAAATACAAAGTACATGATTTTAGATTATTATAGAAGAATTACATGAGAGTAACAAAAATTTGTGGGTTTAGAAAAAAATTGCAGATTTTTTCCTACAGACGAAGCTTTCTAAACTCAGATTATAAATATCTCCATAAAGCCCTATTTATTCTACTGCTGACAGTCACCTCAGTTTGAGATCAAACAAAATTTAAACATTTTTCCTATATTTCTGATTAATTTATAGTTTCTTTAAATTATTTCCAAAAGTCACAGACACACAAAAGTAACAGTAGTCTTTATTACTAGAATCTAAGAAGTAATCTTGCAACGCAAAACTGCAAGGAATTTGCTCCTATTTTCATACTTTCCTAGCTCGAAGAACAAGAACAAAGGATGGCAAAGGCATCACCTTGGGGGATATGCACCCTTCCTCAGATGTGTATATGTATACGACATACGTAATATGTCATTTAGCATATATATTTACTTTGAGCTGTGTATGATTACATATCCCACCCTGTACTTGGTATATTTTACTCTGTTGGTTGGAAATCAAGTATTTTATACTTCTTCCACTTCAACATTGCCAATAGGTCACAACGATATTAATATTTTGTAAAGATCCTTATGTTAGAAGAGGCAAAGGGACAACTGCGATACCAGAACATCCTTATGCACCTCCCCACACATCTGGCTAACCACCTTCCAGTCCAGTGAGTTAAACATAACACACTCTGCCTTGTCTTATCACCCAAGTAACAGAGAACAAGTGCCACCTTCCGCGTTACACATGAATCATCTACTTTCTTCTCCATTATACCAACTAAAAAAGCCCCAATCAACTGAGCTTTCCACAACTGTAATTCTTTTCTATTTGCACCATTAAAAGTACCCAGAAATCCTCCCTGGTCAACATTTTTATAACACATCTAGATTACAGCATTAAAAGGACCTACAAATGTATCTCCTGTCCAACATTAACTTTAAATTAGCTTTAAATTTCAATGGCTTCCAATGCCTATCATGCATAAATACACTTAAGTGAGGTCTAAAAACAGCCTGGACCATTTGGATAAAAATAATGTCAACGGAGCCCACAAACATTGCATCTGCCTGCTTGAGTTCACTGTTTTTACATCCTCGCCAAAATTGTTTTTGCAAATGCATTTGCTTTTTTTTGCTTTTCTCTCTGAAAATCTAGGAAACTTAATGGCAAAGCCACGAGCAAACATGTTGATGCTATATAGTTAAACAATGTATTTTCATTTTAAGGATCACAAAGCAATCTAAAGAAAGCACATTTGCATATGGAGCCCAAACTCTTCCAAGAAAAACAGGTAAGTTATCTGCTGGGAGAAGAGCAAAATGAGACAAAACTTAGTAAGATTACCAGCTCAAAATCACTCAAAGAAGAAATGTCAGATTGAGGAACACAAACTGTTCCAACAGACCATGAAACTTCCCAAGCACTTCCCCTGAAATGAGGGGACTACTCAAAAGTTTTTGAACTACTGCACACATGCACAGACACTTTAAATCAGGTTTGCAACATAAACACAGCAATTCCTACTGCCATGTAAGAACAAGGCAGCATGATGGCAATTATTCAGTTCAGAGCTTGCCCTTACACTTAAACTAACAAAGGAAGAAATAATGTTACTTAATTTTTTTCCCTGCAATCATAAGTGGGCCACACCTGAAAGTTGTAGCTGCATGAGCACAGAAATCTTTTTCTTCAGTCACCACAGAAACTAATATAGGAACTCTAGTGATTTGTTCTCTTGTTTTCAGTAAAAAATTTACATATGAATTACACACCAAATTCCTTCAGTCTAATAAACTGTTCTGAACTCGCATGAAGAAAATACTGCTTCTTCATTATCATCCTCTTCTTGCTGCTCTTTGCTGTCTTTACAAAAAAACTGTACCTCTAAAGCCAGTAGCAAGCACAGTGGTAAGTCTATCTCTTGCCTTGATTCCATGCATGGAAACAGAGGTTTGGAAATATATCCTTACATTTCAAAGGATTTTAGATTCCCAGATTTCCTACCAGACAGGCCTGCTTATTAGTCTCTGCCTCGTGTGTAAGTATTAACAGAGCAATCTGTACTAGTCAAGAAATCATCTGATGTAACTGAGCTGATTCTCAAAGGCATAAAAAAATTGCATATAATAGCCTACATAAATTACTGATGTTCAGGATCTGACTGGAAGACTGAAATACTGAATTATTTTCTATTACTTTTCATATTCATTAATTACTATTAGATAGAGAACAAAGGAGCACACACAGAGGCTAGAAACAGCACGTGAGTCTCTTAGGTGTTTCCCGTGACAGAATACAATTCAAATATTGTTTTTGCACTCAAGAACAGAAATGCAAACATTTCATAATTGCACTGTGTATGAGAAATCAAAACAAACCTTACCTTATTTAAAATATCAATTTTAGTAAAAAGTCAGGCTATGCTAGTACAGGGTGGCAGGAACCAGGCCATTCTCCTCCGGCAGATTTTTCCAAATGCCCCTGTGCTCAACTAAGTCTAACTCCGCTCTGTTTTGTTTCCCCAGGAGGACCCATTCAGGACCATGTGCTCCTTTTCAGCTGTCAATAAACAGAAGCGGTGAATTCCCCAGCGCTTCACAAAGCTAGTTAGGCATAGCCATTCATTTCTTTGGGAAAACAGGGCATTGATTTCAGCAAATTCCCAGGGAGCAGCTACAACAAAGAGATCAAAGACCCACCTCCTTTCCTGCCTGGCTTTGGCCGGCTGGGCTGAGAGGAGCAGCAACAGGTTTCCGAAGAGCAGGCTTGAGCCCCACTGACCACTGCATGCTCCATTCACAGCCATCACCTTCCTACATTCCTGGGACAGCCCCTGGCGCTAACCGTGACAAACCCCTACATTCAGGCAGCATAATATACTGCACACTAGTTCATCCAAGGATAAAAAGAAAAACAAGCTCCAAGGGAAGTCTGCTGCTTCCCCAACCAGTCGAGCTTCAGTAGCTGCCAGATTTTCCATAAACTTCTTTTTTTTTGTTTGGTTTGTTTTGTTTTCTAGCTTCTCCATCTAAAACAGAGAAACACTTGCTACCTCAAATTCATTGTGCTGAAACTTCACTGGAATGTTGTCTTTTTTGGTTTATTTCCATGAGCTTGAAGACTTAGCTGCTGGAGTTTGAGGTCTAGCTGCAACAGCCCTTGTATTGTGCAGCCACGACATCTTCTTTGTGCAATTTGCCCCAGAATGCAGCGGGGTTTTTCCCCAGGAACTTAAGAGGGTTTGTTCTGGTTTCATTAGATTTTTTTTTTTTTTTAAATTATACATCTTGTCTTCATTAATGTGACCTGGAGCAAGATTTTTAATGCTAGAATTTGACCTCGTATTGAACCAAGCATTAGGAAAAGATAATGCTGTGGACAAGTTTAAGGACTGGTGGTTAGGCTACACATCTACTACTAAACAGTAAGAGACAGAGATTGGTTCTTGTGGTGCAGTGACCACTTGGCATCAGCTCCACATGTCTAAATGCTCCTCATGCCCTTCTCTCTTACCCAACAAACAGTCTGGTTATATCCGAATTCCCTATCTGGAACACAGGCTGGTAAATATTATCCCCAAAACACACCATAGTGTTGCTTGCTAGCATTGGACAGTACTGAGCTCATGGGCTGGCTCTGAAATATTTATTCATATAAATAGAGTCTAGAGTCACTTCACATCTGTACAGACCTGCTGTTTTATTCTTAAACATTCTCCTGTGCACTGACATTTTACCAAGGCACTGCCTGGCTGTCACAAGTCCCACATGCCTGTGTACTCCTACCAGCTGGAACTTGTAAAGGCCCCTCAGCACCGGTACTGCCTCGGGGCCATTCACACATATCCAAGCGAGAAGACAAATCTCTATCCCACCAGCATGACCAAGTATCACAGGACCTGGCAGAGTGCAAGCAGTACAATACTGAGAAGACCAGGGACAGGTGGTAGGGATGATTGTACAGAAGATAGCTGAGGACACCAAGAAATACAGAACTGCAGAATTATCAAAGTTGCAAGAGACCTGTGAAGATCAACTAGGCCAGCCTCTTGCTGAAAGCAGGCCAATAAATAGCATTATCCAGGGCCTTGTCAAGCTTTATCTTGAATACTTCCAGTGAGGGACACTCCACCACTTCCCTGGGCAGCCTATTTGAGTGTTCAGTCAGTCCCACAGTGAAAATGCTCCTTCCATAAACAAGCATCTTCCCTGAAGCAACTTGTGACCATCACCTCTTGTCCTGTCAGAGCATGTTTGGGGAAAGAGCACTTCCAACTCCTTTTCCAAACCACCATTTTTTACTGGAAGACTAGTTCTATGACTAAATGCCCTTGAACCTTCTCTTCTTTGAGCTGAACATGCCCAGCTTCTTCAACCTCTACTCAGGTGACAACTTCTCTAACCAACCGATCATCAGGAGAAACATGAGAGAGGTACTGAGCTGAAAAAAGGAAAAAATAAACTGACAGGGCATAAAATTGCTAAAACAGACAAACCAGCTTAAACATCTGAGCACAGTTGAGGAGTCTTGACCTCAGCTACTATACAGTCTCTCCATTCTTTAACTTTTCACTCCTGACAGAAGTTCTGTCTGTTGTATACAGTACAGTCAGGCATACCACCTTCCTTATTTTTGAGTTCTCCCTGTATCTAAATGGCATTTAAGCATGCCTCAAAATTTCCAGTTCACAGCTGAAGCTCAAAAAATGCACAAATAACTTGATCTTGAAGTACAGATATGACCCCCAGAGACAAGCGCTGCCACGCAGCCACTGATGGGTTTATATTTATTAACTGAATACAAACATTAATGAAAAAAATATTGTTTTCTTTGTTCCTCTGAGGAAGTTTTAAGGAACGATAAAATTGGTTTCTGAAATTCCCCTCTCTTATATTGCACAGTGTGCAGTTGGGCAGCCCTTGGAAGCAATGACAAAAAATGGCAGCTGAGGCACTGGAGGGACTCCAAAAGAAAGCATGTAGATCAGATCAATAAGCATAGAAAATGTGCTTAATGCTTCAGATAGCTTAAGCTGGAGTGAGAGAGTGAGAGTATTGGGGAAACGTGTGCAGCAGTCTTTTGTGGTAGTTATGACAGCATAGCATAAGGATATGCCATTTGTATATTCTTTTCTGTTAAAAAGAAGGATGGATAATAGTGATGAGGCACAAGATTTGGATATGACTGGGATAATGACATGCTGGAAACACAGGAGTTAAATTTGCAAAATGATTAAAAAACCCCGAGCACATCACTCTGTAGTAATCTGGGATGGCATTTGTGCCAAAGATAGAAAAAACATTTTAGACAGAATTGTAATTTTAAGTCTCAATGAACCAGTCTGTTCTTATACTTGGGCCAGATTTTTACAATTTTACTCATATTAAGTCATGCTTTACTCCAAGAATAATCCTGTTGATTATAATGGTAATATTGTTCGACAGATGTCTCAGAAGAAACACAAATGTAAAAGCAGACTTTATACTTCAGATAAAAGACATCAATCATGAGTACATCTGGGAATCTGATAAAAACATATGGTGCAAAAAAATCACTGTGGGATAACGGAAATGTACTTACAGAGCAGGTCTGTTGACATGTTTACAGATCAGGCAAAGGAAACCTACAAAAAATAAATGAAAAAAGAATTATCAGTTTTCTGACCTAGCACTATTCATGTTTATATCTTATGCTAGTAATCATATCCATTGTTTTTTACTTCTTTAGGAAATAAGGAGACTATATATACAGAAATCTAAAAGGAAGAATTTTAACCTGCAGAAAAAAAGAATAAATCCATCTATTTTTTTATTTCTTAATAACTGATTTCGCTTCATTTCACAGACAATGTGAACTGACAGTATTAATGTAATGCATTTTAATTAAGAGTAGTTCGCTGTAACTCACATCTTCATTAACATTTATTATTAAAACAGAATTTTCAGGCATCGTGTATTTTACCCCATTGCATGCCATTCTGTGTTCAAGCCTGCTATTTCTGGTATTCCTCCTAACAGTCCTGACCATTGCAAAGTAAAAAAGAAACCAAACCAAACACAGGACAAGACATTTCATTTGTTCTCTTGAAAGACTTCTGAAGACTTCTAGTTTTCTGCTGAACTAATTTATCTTGTTCTCTTCCAATTCATCTGCTGGTTTTTGACTGAAATTTTACTATAAGCATATAGGAGCAGAGTCTGAGTTTTCTGTAGCTGTCTGAGCAGTTTCCAAAACAGGGGGATCCCAATGAGTGAATAAGGCTACTTGGTGCAACAGAAATAATAATGCATATAACAATAAGGGAAACACATAAACAACAGTACAAATCACATCAATATATGCCATTTTATGTCATGTACAAAATTTGAAAGTTTCAGGCAGTGTTTGAAGGTGTGTGTACATGAATTAGAGTGAATGAAAGAGGTTCAGCTAGGTGGAGTGCTGGGTCCTGCACTTGTGTCGCAACCCCATGCAGTGCTACAGGCTTGGGGAAGAGTGGCTGGAAAGTGGCCTGGCAGAAAAGGATCTGGGGTTTCTGGATAACAGCTGGCTGAACATGCACCATCAGTGTGCCTAGGTGGCCAAGACCAATGGCATCCTGGCCTGTATCAGCAATAGTGTGGTTAGCAGAACTAGAGTAGTAACTGTCCTCCTGTACTCAGGACTGGTGAGGTCACACCTCAAATCTTGTGTTCAGTTTTGGACTCCTCACTGCAAGAAAAACATTTATGTGCTGCAGAGTGTCCAGAGAAGGGCAATGGAGCTGGTGAAGGGTCTGGAGCACAAGTCTTATGCGAAGCACCTGAGGGAGCTGGGTTTGTTTAGGTTGAAATAAAAAGGAGGTTCAGAGTGGACCTTACTGCTCTCTGCAACTACCTGAAAGGAGGCTGGAGAGAGGCGGGGGTTGGTAACAAGGGACAGGGCAAGAGGAAATGGTTTCAAGTTGCACCAGGGAAGGTTTAGATTGGATGTTAAGAAAAATCCCTTCACTAAAAGGGTTGTCAAACATTGGGCAGGCTGCCTAGGGAAGTGTTTGAATCCTCACCCCTGAAGGCATTTAAAAGACATGCAGATGTGAAGCTTAGGGATGTGGTTTACTGGTGGACTTGAGAGTGCTGGGTTTATGGTTGGACTCAATGGTCTTAAAGGTTTGTTTTCTTAAATGATTCTACCAGTCTATGAAAACTTGACCCTGATGAAGACAACAGTATTTTTGTGGCTGACTGCAATGGGTCAAAGAAAACATCTTCATTTTAAAAAATACAATGATTATTAGTAAGATAGTTACAAATTAATTGGAGATGGTTGGGAGAGCTGAGGGAAGGGGAGCATGGAAGAAGGTAATAAAGATGACAGGAAAAATGGATAGCAAGGAATAAGAAGAACTGAGAATGAAACAGACTCATAAGAGTGTAAAGCAGTGGTAAGTAAGGTGAATACAGAGGACGATGAGGCAGAGGGGAGTTAGTGGCCTGCTGATGAGAACTTGCCAAGGAAGAAGCTGTGACTT